CCACTGTACATTGAGACAGAGCCATATGTGCCACAGGAACCCCTCCAGAGTTCAGCCCTGCAGAGTTTGAAGCTGCAGCCCAGGGATAGCTAATCACTACAGCAGCCAGGACTCAAGTATGTGCAGATATCTCCGTATTAATTCCTGCCCAGAATGTGTAATTCTGGACTGGCTGCTTTCCTATAGCATAGGCATGGATACATGCTGTTAAGAATATCTCCTGTTGTTAATTTCAGATTTTGCTTTCTTGTAACACAAAACCTAGCATCCCTCTGAGCAACTGTGTACATTTCGTTCCATAAATGGTTTAAAAGTGTATTAAAACATTAATCTTCTTCCAAGCCCCAGTATGCCAGTTTTCTGACTGGAACACAGTTTAATGGATGACTCATTGCAGATACATTGTATAATGGTATGATTTCTGATAGCCAGTGATTTACAGCTACAATACTTAGTACTGTCTTGCTTTGGGAAGTCCTTCTATTGCTTATTTGTGCTACATGTGGATACTTGGAATTTAAGAATATTTTCACAGAATAGTGTTCTAATAGGGAAAAAAAAAAAAGGAAACAAATTTTTAAGGTAGAGCAGTAATCAAACTTGAAGCTAGTCCTTTAAAATGCTAAGTTCAGAATGCTTGAGAATATATTGTATTGCCTTCAAACTGAATTTGAATAAATCATGTCTGGTCTCTTTGGCATGCCCTTCTTAAGGAGGGTCCTTTGCTGCCATGCACTGGGGAGGTTTCCCAGAGGAGAAGAGAATAGTGAAGTCACATATGTTTATTTCCCTTTAAACAAAGAGGTGCACAGCTGTAGTGATGGCCCAGATAGCTGGCTTGGCTTGAAATCAATAACTTTGGTTGGCCTGTTCTTATCAATTGATTTGAAATGTCACTCAGGAGTTTTTGAAAAAAAGAGGTTTTGTTATGCACAGCGAGGGGGTATCCCACCCTCACTGTCCATAGGGGAAGCTCTCTGGAGTGACAAGGACTGATGTGAAACACAGACCTCCCAACATGACAACCTGAGTCCCTTCAACAAGGAAAGGAATGAGGATGCACAGGAATCTGCACCACCTTACCATTCCAAAACTGACTCGTACCTTTTACTCTGACTGAATTACTGGGATGACCTGCTCAAAAACAATTAGCAGTTTATTTTGTATTACATTTTGTTATTATTGTTAAAGGTAGTATTCAGGGGTTTATGTAGTCTGAGGAGTTTGTCTTGATTTGCCCTAAGGGGTAGTGATGGTAGTTAATAGCACAGTTTTCTGTCCATAAGCTATAAACCAGTAACCAAGAAGAGCCTTAACAGAGAAATTAAAAGCACATGGGATGAGGGGGTGCTGGATTAGCTGAGGAGAGCAGCATGCCAAGTACATTACTGTGCAATTCAAGGGTCCTGTGTAGGCAGATGGACTTTTGGGATTCTTTTGACAGGACTGGAACATTAACAGTGTATATAACATGCCAGTATATCCTGCAAAACATCATAGACACCATTTGTAGCTCCTCCTGGTATAAGGAGAATAAATTGTTTGCTTTCTTCTCTGGGAAGTGTTCCAGCATCCTTTTGAGGTGCTTTCATTGCATACCACAACTGAGGCATTCGCAAGAGTTACATGACTCAAAGCAAGATTTGCAAGTGAAGAGAATATGACTGACTGTATTCCTATTGACTCTTTTTGCCCCTGAGTCAGCCAGCATTTAAGGTCATTACAAGTTGTTTTTATGAGGAAGGAGAACTAGCAGTAAAGGAAGTTTTTTCCTTGGGTGCTGTTTTGCAGATCAGTAAAGAATCTTTCTCAGTTTCTATGTCCATCAGTGCAGTGAGAATAAGTAGCAGGAGGCAGCCTTTTTACTTGTAGAGAGAGTTTCTCACCAAAAAAAGTTTCACTTTTGGACACGCTTCCAGAGCCAGAAAGGAGCTGCTTTCTTAGATGGTTATCTGGCTTTGAGGGCTCTTCTGATATTTTTTTCACACTTTCCCTTGCCACATAGCCACCAACATGTGCAGGGCAGTGCTGTTTATAGCCTCTTCGGGCAACCTCTTTCAGTGCCTCGCCAACCTTATAGTACAGATGTCAGTCTTTATAGATTATAAATACAAGTCTTTATAGATTACAGTAAACATTTATAAATTACAGTAAAGAAATCAGTTATCAAGCATTGAACTGGTGGAAGATTTGCTTCTGCATCATCTTGCAGTTTTATTTTACTTGTTTCTGTAAGAATAAAGACTATATGACTTACTATTTCTGCAATTTCCTGAGTTAAAACTAATGTACACCAAGATATTTGTTACCCTTGTCATGTCTTATTTGTACCAATCCTGTTCTCATCAGTAACAGGTTCATCTCTTTTACATGCTCTGACCTAAGAAAAACAGTTTCTTTATTGAAGGAAAGTATTTCCACTGCATCACTTTGCCATTGATGAAATATGCTGCATTTTTTAGGTCATCCAAAGCAAAGACTGATTTTTGTTGCCCTCTGATTAGTATGAATGTAACGTAATTCATCTCAATGCATTGTTGTGCTTTAACTACTTATACTAACTTTTTCAGATTAAATTCTCAAATTAATATGATATGTATCAAAGAACTATTCATACCAATCCTTAATGCTTTGCCACTGGTACTCTTATTTCTGCAACTTATTACATAAGAAGTGATTAAATTCTTCAGAAAGGTCATATGTTGTCAGCATGGCCACTGCTCTAAAAGTAAAGGATTTCATTATTAAAGCCACAAGTGATAGTTCAGATGGAGGATACAGGAAAGAAAAAACTGTTGGAAAATAAAGAAAATGAAGCTTAGCTCTTTAGCTGTCAGGGAGTGTACTTTCTGTGTGTGCATCTGTTGGACCTAGAGATAAAAGTTCCATCAAAGACTGACTTAGTTCAAATAGAAGTTGTGTTCAGTCATTCTCTGCTCAGAGGGTTGGTGAGCAGTGCATACAACTGGCAAGGAGAAGCAAGGATACTCCACAGTGATCTCTGTTTCAGTTGGGCAATATGAAATGGTGAAAGCATTAAGATAAAATGACAAATTTGAGAAAGTACCATGCATTTTATTGCAGAACTCACCGTCTGTGCTCTGCACTCTATCTGTCAGGCTAAAGGAGAGGCTATTCCTAGAGCCCTGGTGACTGGATGGACTGCTGGAACAGCTTTGGCACTGGCAGGAGCAGGACTAGCCAATGTGCAACATGCAGGCACCCTGAGTCACTCCTGCTAAAGCCATCAGGGAAACAATGCCTTGAGCTCGCAGATGGACCCCAGGACCAGCAGCTCCTTCCTGGAGACCCCCACAGGGGAACATGGTGCTTCCCAGCCCAAACCTGGGACACAGAAAACTGCTGTGATGGCTCAGAAAGTTTCCTGGCCTTTGAGAGGCCAGGGTGTCTGGCTGATGCCAGAGATGGTGCCACCTGAATGTGTGTAAAGTCTTTGGGAAGTGCGTGTCAGTCAAGGCAGCCCTTGTAGGGATGGGTCAATCAATAAGGAGAGAAAGGAGAAAGGCCAGCCACCAGCTGGGAGGCTGGATTGAGCATGGGTGAGGGAACAGAGCAAGAAATATATTGAGCCAGACCTATGAAAAATAGTCCAGGAATGATTTAGTCAATACATTTGAGCACAGAAAAAGGAGAAAATACCTTTTTTTTTTTTTTGGTGGTGGTGGTGGTGGTTGTTGGTGGGATTGGATTGGGTATGCAATTCTTTTTGTACATACTTTTAAGAACTGTTCAGGTGCAGCATGGAGAAAAGATGTGACAGTCTGTTCTGTTCTGTATAATAGGTAGAAATAATGAATCACCACAAAATAAAAATCATCCTTCAAGCTAATCCTGTCAGAATCCTATATACTAACCTATCAATAAACTGATAAGTGCAGCATGAAGCTGCACTGCAAATATTGAAACGGAATTAAGTACACATGTTCAATCAATTAGGAATGTTTTTAAGCAACAGAGGATGGTACACTGGATAGCTAACAAGCTTTTCTGGTCCAGAGGGGCAAAACATGCAGACCTGTACTCACGGAGCCGCCAAAACATCTCTATATAGAGACTAATAAATCCTAACAACATCCCATACAGTCCATCACTGCTCTGACCTCAGATTTGCAGATATGTGGTGTTCCCTGGGAGCAGCGGGTCTCTGCCAGCACAGCAACACCCACCCACTTCTCCTGTCCCTCCGGAGTGCTGATGGCATGGAAGTCCAGGTAGAAGGACCCCACTGGCCTCTCCAAGGAAGTGGAGGGACATGAGATCCTTTCAGAAGACGAGCACAAGCTGGCACTCTGGTAGTGGACATGACGTGCTTCCCTCCAACATCCTCCCACCACTTCCCAGCATCTTGAAGCTGCAGTCTCTTGTCAGCATCTATGTCTGCGACCTTGGCTGACCCACACATGGGAACCACTTCACCAGCTCCATTTCGCTCCATGCATCAATTTCTTATTTCATCAAAATAAAGCGAAGCTGTCTTTTCACAAAGAGCCAAAGAAGTACTCCTGGTACACTACCCAAAAAATCTCCACAACAGCATTTGCTTTTCCCAAAGGAGTAAGTTGAGAGCTGGGTGCTGTTTGTCTGGTTTAGACAGACACCTGAATAAACCTCTGAAAATTTTGATCAAAAGAAAAAGAAATCACTTAAACTGGAGCTCTGTTACTGTCTTCCACACAGCCTTCCTTTTATATGTAGAACAAGTTGCTTGTTTCAGTGCCAAAAAAATACCAGATTACTGACTTCTGAAGGGAATTTTTTTGTTATGTGGTACTTCTGGAGTGCTGTTATGATAATTTTTTTTTTATTTGTTAGGGCTGTTTGTTCAGTTCATCTCATCTATAAAAGTTTAAAATACCTGTCACTGAAAGGTGCTGAACAAACCTCTTTGGTTTCCTATAGCCTAGCAGTAACATTCATCTTTGCCTAACTAAATGCAAAATGCTGGTCAAGTGTTTGACTTTCTCTCATTTGTCCAACAGGTAAGCTGCAAAGTGCTGCAATTCTTTCATCAGTACATGCTGGGGTGCAACTACTTCTGGATGCTCTGTGAAGGCATTTATCTTCACACACTGATTGTAGTGGCAGTGTTTGCTGAAGAGCAGCGTTTGCACTGGTATTACCTCTTGGGCTGGGGTATGTATGGTATCATTTGTAGGAATTCTTTCAGATGTTTGAATTCCTCTTGCAATTATATACCAGAATTATTGTATTTATATCACTAGATCATACCTTAAGACTGAGTTCTTGGGTCCTAAATTTCAGAGCATTTATTTGGATGAGCTTAGAGATTTACAAAAAACAGCAGGAGTCACTATCTCCTGCTCAGTATGAGTATTTGCTGCATCTTGGGATTTCCAGAAAGAAATGCTTAAGTTCTGTTAAGAAAGGTTTTGGAAGAAAAATATATTTCTATTCAAGCATACCTCTTTTCTGAACAGAAGCTCTCTATTTTTGTCACATATGCAAAAACATGAATGTGTGACATTACCTATAAAGTATATTTTTTCTGGAATGACAAAGAGGAAAGATCAGTATCTATGTCTCACAAAGCAAAAAAAACTACAGCATGCAAAAAGGGGAACCAGAATTTCTCTGAAAGTGAACCCAGTATCAGATATATTCTGGCAAATGTTGTTTTAAAGGAAAAGACTCAATTTTACCTACTGAGTAGATAATGGCTTTGCTATCAGGGATGTTTTTATCCAACAGCAATGATCTCTAAAGCATTTCAGAGAAACATACAAGTGTCAATAAGAAAATCTCCATGATATTCTTTGAGAGAGCTTACAGTCCCACACATTGTGGCTGCAAGCTGCATGTAGTCACACACATCCACATGTGTATTGCCCAAGGAACCATGAACAGTTCTGGTTCTTCATCTCCAAATAAGCAGATTTCTTCTGTTTCCATTAAGGGATCCCTTGCTGTTTAATTGGTAGCAGCAGCAGATATTTATCCTTTAAACTGCCTGGTCCAATAAAAGGCCACAGAAATACAACCAGTATATTACAAGGGAGTCTCTTTCACATTTAAATCCCTATTATAAATCCAGTCCACATCGGTGTTGACAAAAAATCAATATCAAGGGTTTTTTCCAGTTTGGGAACCATGAATCTCTGGTCTCATTCCAGTTTCTGGTAAGCCAGTTCCCATATCTTGAAACCACTAGTGCAGCAAAGCAGCAAATGATGAACCTTTATCCACTGTCCCATTGCACTTAGGGATGTTCATGCAATCCCAGTCTGAAACAATTTATTCTATGTATTCCATCCTCTTTGGAGATGTTATACTTTTTCAACATTATTTCATTTACAGCATAAACAGATAAAAGGAATTTTTATATTAGATTTAATGGATAATTTTATATATATATAATATATATATATATATATATATATATATATATATATATAAATATAAATATAATTAGATAATTAGATCAGAGGAAAATGACCTGGTTCTAAATCTTGTGGAGAAATTTAAAACACTGTTTTCAACTACCAGGTAGGCATCCAGTATTGGGTCCTAAATAGGCAGTAACAGCAAAGTGGAAAGTTTTTCATCCCCTATTTGGATTTTCTTTTTAAAGTCTGGTAAATTATTTTCCTCTAATGGTGTAAGGTTTAGTGCTCTCTGGATACCTACATTAGACACCTAGAAAATTAGCATGATTTTCTAGTTTCTATGGATGGTAGCACCAGATAATCATTTCAAAACATGTAAGGATTTGCTTTTGGGCTTTTTTTTGTGGTTTTGATTTTTTTGATGAGAATGCCAACATGCAATCTTTTTTTCTTATAAGAATGGCATCTTTTCTGAGAAGTGAGGGACGAGTCATACTCTTGGAATTAAAAGTATGTGAAACATTATCAGCTCTTAAATGAAGACAACCTTCGTGAAGAACCATAAATCAAGTTGAGGTTTCTGGACTTTGTCAATCCCAAACAGCTGAGTCCTCTTGGAGCAAGAAACTGTTCTATCATAAAATTTTCAGAGTTCAAAATATTTGAATAATAAAGGTCTCATAGGGTTCTGAAATGGCAATCATGTGTGAAGAGTCAGTTTAAACATTTCCTTCCAGACAAAGCTTTTTCTATTTTCATATCTTGCAGAATAAGGCTTCTCAAAATATATCCAATTATGCAAGAGGAATATGGCCATAAATGTATTTTTTTTTTTCAGATGACATTCAATTTAGGCAATACAATTTAATGCAATTGTGACATGTAGCCTGCAGGGAAGGCTTACAAGCTAGCTTTAATAGTGCTGAGAATGACACAAGCAGCATAGTGAGTAATTTAGTGAAGTTACCTGATAAGATACTCATTAGTACCTGCAGCATTGCCCAAACAGTAAAGAGGGTAGTGATTGTGGTAATAGGATGCTGAGACACTGAGAAAGAAATGGTTAATAAAAATGGACACAACTCTTGACAATGATGTTTACAGTCTTTCTTATGAAACTAGACGAATATTTCCACAAAAAAGGTGATGATTAGCACCTCCTAACTAAAGTAGAAAGTATTAATAGCAAAATGATCTCATTAGGAGTATCTGGCCATCCCTTAAGTTTGCATGAATCAGTGTTATTCCACTGATTCCAGAAGCAATAATAACACACTCTAAATTTAAACATCCAGCTATGTTAATCAATGGAGAGAGATATGTTTCTCCAAAGAGCAGTACAGAGCAGCCAGAGCAGGCTGTGCTCTGAATTGCAATTCTAGAGATCAAAGCAAATGTACAACACAAGATGAAGTTACTCATTATTCATTGCTGTTGCTAATCCCTTCTTGCTGTTGCAAGAAGATGTAGTTTATTTGGAAAAATCACTAATGACATTTTTAAAATAGCTTTATAAGAAAAGTACAAATTTGAGCAAATACAAAAACTTCTACAAAAGGTTTGAGGTGATCAAATGGAATCTGACGTGGACGGATATATTTCAAGGCTGTTACCATCAGCTGACCCTTCTCTGGGAACTGCAGCTGGGGATATCGTTTCTCTTTTTTTTTTTTTCCGCTGAGTCAAGAAATCACCATTTTGCAGGGAAAGAAAACAGTACCAACTGTGTGCATCCAGCTACAGTCCATTCTGCCTGGATGCTTCAGGCACTTCACCCATATAAAAGTGAAAAGGGAATAATTTATTTGGACAGTGCTAAAACAGAGTGCCTTCCTTTCCTTATACTGGAAATATTGACATATTTGCTAGTTTGTACTATAAAAGACCTGGCATGACCTAAAGGGATACGTCATGTCTTTTCCTGGGATGGTTGGGATAACACCTTCTCTATGTTACTCGCTGATCCCCATGTTTTGGTGGGACTCCGCATTGATACCTGTTATCACGACCCCGCAGGCCTTGGTGTTTCACTTCTAAATAATTTGGCCCTTTACAAGAGAAGAGCAACATCTCGAGCTCCAGAACAGCCCATCCAGCCTGCAGCTGGAAATCTGAGCTGTAGAGACTCATGAGCTTCTTACCCTGTAACTGACTAATGAAGACTTTCCACTGTGTTCTTAAAATTTGCTTGTGAGTTTGTTGAGCCAAATATCCTAGGCTAATGCTTTTAGCAGAAGAAAAAAGGTCTCTTGGCATCATGTGGCTTGCTCTACTCACAATACTCCAGGCCAGAGTTTTCAGCTGAAGAATTTTTGTTGTTACAGAAAGGCCCCTGAAAAGTTGCATTTCAATCTGTCTGTCAACAAAACTGGCCCAGACTTGCTCCATTTCCCAATCAAAACGATTTTCTCAAGCTGTCGGTCCCATAAGCTCATCCTGAGGATGGAAGCTCCCTTCTTTTTAGTCTAAACTTTTTGTTGTTTTACTGTGCATCATCACCCAAAAAAAGGCATTTTGCTGCCAGAGGCCAACTTATCATTGTCTAACAACATATAAAGGAAAAGGCAATCCAGTTTCTTCTCCCACAGCTGCGTTGTCCTCCCAAGGTAAATTGCAATAAGAACTTTTTTTTGGCAGTAGAATAAGTAGCTATTGCTTAAAGATCCCTGGCGACATCAGAGCAGCCTATTTACATAGTTTTTTGACCTTATTCTCACTCTCCACAATATGGTTAAGGATTCTCTGGCTCTTCTAAAATTGTTTGTGGAATCACTAACACCTAAAAAAACACGAAGCCATGTTCTTCCCTCTGTGACTAATCATGGTATCAGCAGGATATTTTTACACATTTGCATTTATAATTATAGAATGTCCAAAGCTCAGTAGAAATGTCCTTAGTTTTTAGGGAGCAGGCAGCAGTAACGCCAAAGATGCACTCCAAGCTCTCTTCAAAGGACAGACAAGGCAGTACATCACCTCCCCACTGGCCAGCACTCTGTGTGTGCAAGGTTGTACAAACTGGACTCAGCATTATAGTGCAGGCTCCCCAGTTCCAGTTTCTTAGCCTATTGGAGAGAAATATGACATACAAGCTGAAGGAAGATGGACAGGAGTGGACCAGACTGTTACTCTCAGTATCAGGCTGGAAATAAGAACTTGAGCTTTCCACTTTGTTGCGCATGGCGTGTTCCCAAGCAAATTTGCTCCTGTCATCTCCCTGTCAGAGAAGTGGCCTCCTCTGATGTGTCACAAATAAGTCAAGATTTATGTTATCCACAGTATTTATGTGGATTTATGGTATCCACAACTCATCTCCCTGCTGAGATAAAGCTACAGGGAGTGGGCTTGGCTGCACAGCCTGCAGGGCTGGGAACCTACAGAAGAAATTACAGATCCCCATCCCCCAAAAACTATCTGGTTCCAAACATTTTCTTGTACCACTGGCTCCAAAAGAGAAACTCTTTGCTCTGTTAGTTATTACTCCATAATCTGGCACTTGTGACTCTCTCTTGCTCAACAGTTATTTACATAGTTTAAACAAGTGTCCCTGATTTCCTGGGGGAATATTCCTCTGAGAACAGAATGATCCCTGCATCCTTCCCACACTGCCTGCTCACACCCTTCCCTGCACAAGCCACAGCAGTGCAGGGGAGCCTGGCAGCAGCTTTGAGATGCCCCAGAAGAGTATGGTCAGTGGGCTTTGCTTCTCCTTTTGGCCTACCTTGAACATTAATCCCTTTTCATTTCACCATTGAGGTAATTCCAGGGCCTAAGTGCAATGGATTACAGTTCTCTCCTGAAATCTGTGATTTTACATCATATGTTTTGTAGACAAGAGACTTATTAGTGTGTGAGATATGTGAAATTCAAGTTAAACAAATACCAAGACTGATCTATGACTTTAATCATTTCAGGGTTCCCTTTAGTGCCAGCATCCATTCATGCTGTTGCAAGAGCCAGATACTTCAATGACAAGTGAGTATCATATCTGTCTTTGAAGGAAATTAGCATTATTTAACTGTGCAGCACATTTTATTCAAGTTAATAATAAATGTTAATGTTGTACTTCCCTTCCAGCTGCTGGATGAGTGTTGACACGCACCTGCTCTACATTGTTCATGGACCTGTAATGGCAGCTTTGTTGGTAAGAATATTATTTGCTATTAACTCTTGAGTAATTATTTTAGAAATGCCACTAACCTGTACAGAATAGAAGTTTCTGTACTTAAACTATTTTGGTCAAAGCTCAGAAGTAGCAAGAGATTTTCTCTACTCAGTGTTACAAGGACAGGCTCTCAATACTTCAGAAAAACGAATCCTGTAATGGGACTTCCCGTTACAGACTGTTGAGGCAAACAGAATCACTAACTGCTTTAGAAAGTCAGGACAGTCATACTCTATCCCAGTGTAACGTATTTATGAAGAATGTATACTGAATTTATGTGACAAAAATGAGGCATTTAGCTACGCTTTAGCTGGGGTGAGCTGAGCACAGGCTGATTGCTCAGCATGAGTTGTACTGGTCACTGAACTGGAATGGTCTAAAGGTAGGGAACTAAACGAGTCCCAGGGAAGGGACTGTACTGGGCTGTCTGAGTAGGAGGACAAGATTCAAAGTGCAGCTTGGCAATGTGCATACATACAACATGTAGTATGGCAGTGGTGGTGTTTGGCATGACCTTCCTAAAAGGTGCAGAAAGGGTTTTATTCAACCCAATCCCAAAGTTTGTGTCACCAAAGATGCACTTTCAGCTTTTGAGCTGCCTCATGCTTACAAACACGGCATGGATGTATGTGCAATAATTACCTCAAAATCAAACAGAAGGGCAGTGAGTACTGGGAATATGATTGAATAAAGAAACAACTTTCCATCTAATAGCTTTCTAACCTTTCTTGAGAAGTAGCCTCGAACATCAGCAATGCGAAGGAGCCCATCCTTCCCCGTCATATAGATAGACTCTTCATCTATTTTGGGTTTATTGGTTCTAAATTGATTGCATCTGCTCTTGTAATGCAAATTAGCATGTAGGAGAGGCCATTCAAACATTATTTTTATCATCATGACCCAAATCTGTACATCTTAGCCACAACAGAAAAAGAGGGGACTGGTTTTCTATGGAAAAAAAAAAAAAATCTTTACCTGTTTTCAAAATAAGGCATGGTATTTTCTGGCTTGTGCTTAAGCTATTTCCAGTCTTATTTTTCTTGTGAAGTTGTCAATGTCTGCAGAATGTCCTGCTTGATTTGCTACAAAAATCCCACAGTGACAGACTGACTCAGAAAAGCTGAAGGTTTTTACCTTTGTAAAGTCTTTTTTTCACTTTTTTCGTTACTTCCAGATATACTAAAAGTGAAGGTTAAGCAGAGTGAGTGAAGTCAGAATAGGATGAAGAATAAGGTTAAGATTTAATGCTGAATGGGACCTCAGAAGTAATTTATTATTCCTTTTTTCCAGTAGAGAACAAATGTAAAACAGTTGAAAGGTCTCTCAGTGTAGTTAAGAAGTGATGAAATGCTTTGCCAAAGCTTACTGATTCACTGTTCTGAAAGAATCAACTGAAATTTCTCATCTAACTATGGAATTTGAGCTAATAAAGTTTGAAGTTTTATTTATGGAATTTGAGCTATGTAACTTATCCATATAACAATTTCCATCCATATTTTTAAAAAATCACCTGAAAAAATGTCTAATAACATTCCAAAGCATAGGTGCCTGATTTTACTGTAGCAAAGTGGAAAAGAGTGATCTGGGTACACTGGAGAGGGAGAAGTCTGTGATGTCCACAGGGTAACCTTTGGGCTCGTGATCAGCCTGGGTCTGCCCTCCCTGCTCCTGCAGGCTCTCAGTGCATCCCACAAGGAGCTCTCTGTGAAGCCAGGGGTCAAGGGCATGTTTCTCTACGCTGAGATAAGATTTCCAGAAATGACTGAGGAGATGAGGAGATGAGGTGCTGAGCTGCTTGGAATCACTGACTGAAAGGGTCAGGGGCAAAATTTTCTGAAGTGTCTGGCATTTCTGCCCTGAGACAGCAAGTGCTTCCTTTTAGCTGTGGGTAGAGTACCATGGGGTCCCTGCAGTCTGGTGGAGGCAAGGGGCAGCCTAGGTTTTCCTCAAGAGCAGCCTTATTGCCCTGCTAGCTTCACAAACCTGAGGTATTGGCCCAAGGAGAATATTCCTTAGGGAAAGTGTGTGCTCCCATAGGTCCCATGTGCCCAGGGACGTGCTGGGGTTTGCCTCACCTGGCAATATAGCTCAGTAACCATCAGACTGGTTAGTTCTAGGGGGCGATTCATCCCCTCCATTTAAACTTCAGAAATAAAAATGAGATTAAGTGCTCCCTGGAAATCCTAAATTTGCCCACATCAATATCAAAACATCTAGTGATTCCTAGAACGGATCCCTGCCTGCCTGAAGCATCCATGCAAGCTCCCTAAGCATGTAGAGCTGCTTAACATATTGTTTCTGGTACATTTATTTTTTCAAGGTACTTTCCAAGACATGACTCCCCAGGAGCTGCCCATTGTGAGATACAATTAAATAAAATTAAAATAAAGCTAAAAAGCTACACTTTACTGCTATTTACATGTTCTGTATTTTTATTTTGGATGTCTGTTTAATTTGAATGCTTTCACCCACAATGGCTTTGGCTTTGCAGGTCAATTTTTTCTTTTTGCTTAACATCGTCCGAGTTTTGGTGACAAAGCTGAGAGATACCCACCGTGCTGAGTCCAACATGTACATGAAAGCTGTCAGAGCTACTTTAATCCTGGTGCCCTTACTAGGAATTCAGTTTGTTATTATTCCCTGGAGACCAGAAAACCGACTTGCTGGAGAAATATATGATTACATCATGCATATATTAATGCATTACCAGGTATGTTATGTGGTAGCAACTTCAATGTAGTTTAAGTGTTTGCTGTTAAGCTAATTTAGACAAAGATACTGTTGCCAGGGTTTTTTCCCTGAAGCTGAAAATAACTGTGGGTTTTCAGTTCTTTTCGAAACACTTTCACATATTGTTGGATTATCTTCCTTTGCACAAGCAGCACCGCTGTGTAAAGAACAAAGAAAAGATAGGGGAAGCAGTGTAATAAGTAGTCAAAATTATCAGGTGACACTATTTCTAAACTGTGGAGAGAAAAGTGAGTTCACAGAGGGCTTTTGTGTTCCAACACAATTTCTGTTGAAATGCTCAAATTGACTGAAACTGGTGCTATGAAGTTAATATTAAAATCAGCTGTGTATGCAAACTGTTGTACAGAGGGAATGCCAAAACACAGAAGAAAAAAGTGAGACAATTAAGCTTCATTTAGGAGTCAGAATTACATTACTAGGCAGTTTAAATTACAAGACTGACATTTTGATTTCATCAGTGCTTTGAAAATATAACATCATTCAGTAAGTCTGGTTTATTTTCTTTTGAAAGCAAAACAAACCTAATCGACTTTAAATGCTGGCTTATCTGGTTTACTGACTGGAATATATCCAGTCCTTTATTAACTAGGAAGGGCAGATTTCCAATACATTTGTGAATAATGGTCAACGTGGGTGAATGTCATGATCTACTTCTGGTTTCCTTTCATATGGAAGCTAAATGCAGAAATTATATGCTGTAGAAAAATGACAGCTTAAAAAATTCAGTGGTACTTTTTCCATAAACTAAGGGATAAATAATGCTGTCAAAACCTATGCATCCTGCCAGATTATATTTTCTGCTTATTGCCCTTATCCCTTCAAAACTGTGCGTGTGCCTGCTACTGCATGCATAGAATAATTGCAATTATAGGTCTGTTTTTGAAATGTATGTCATCTTATGTTACAGTTCTGCTTTAAAGAAATGAGAGTCTGTTTCTTCTATTGTTACCTTTACTGTCACTTCTTCTTTGGCAAGAGCTATACAGGAATATCTCCAAACTAGTTTTCTGGTGACAAGTTATTTGCTTACAGTTTCAGCAAGCTAGAATAAGATAGAGTGTTACAATAATCACTTTACTCTTAAAATAGCTTTCAGATCCTGTGAGGTTGTTGGAAAATTGCAAAAAGAATTATAATTGTCTAAATTAGCAATTCTGATTGTGATCATTATGCACTAGAAAGTTACCAAACTGAGGTTAAAATGGAAGTTGTACTGATGAAGAGGATTGGGTGAGGGAGGGATCCAAGGTGACAAAGTTTCATCTCTGATGGGTTCCTTCTGCTCTCACAGAAGAGCTCTTGATATCTCTGCAATATAATCTCAGTGTGCTTCCTGCCAAAATGTGACCTTTCAGGAGGACTGTGCAGTTGTCCTGCTAACTGCAGCTGATTATGATGCTCCCTTTTCCACTTTGAGTGGATTTTAAATTATATTCTAAAATAAACTTTCTTAATCCTTTCCCAACCATTTCTTGTGTGTGTATTTAGATAGCCAGCTACATAATCACGCCTCTGGTGCTCATTTTCTACTAGGACTGATTATGTAATTAGCAGATATTGTATCAGCTTTTGCAATGGCTGTATTTCCCTGCTAGTTGTTGTGCTTTCATAAACCACAGCACAGCCTGCCTCTCCAGAAACTAACTGTAGTCTATCAGCTTTTTCACCTTGTAGCATGTCAGTCATACACAAGCAGGCATCACGGGAGCAATTATGAACTTTTTTTGTGGAAATTTTAATACATTCTCCATTTCTGCACTGATTAAATCAGTAATTTTTATGCCTTTTATAGAACAGAATTAGAGACCGTCTTTCAACAGCATGTCACTGCTTTAGGAAAGCGTGAAGGTTTGATATGTTAGTTATGTAGTTCATGTACACAGAAATGGTGCAAACAAGCGCTGCAGTTTTTTGTAAAACTCAGAGGATTGGAGATGAGAAAAAATTTGTTCACAAAAGAAACCATGTAATGGTATTTCTTTCAGAGAATGGTTTCTCAGTAGAAAAACAACACATCAAAGTGTCTCATGCTTGGTTTCCTCTGCTGAAATCACTTTTGAATAACAGAAGCCAGCCTGGTTTTGAGTTGTCCTGCTCTTTTTGTGATACTGTCATCAATGCTCACCATATTAAGGAAAATTTTTTTTTCAAATATGCCTGTATGAGCAGTTGACAAACACTCCATGTCTACTGTATGTCTCTCTCACATAGACCAGATTCTTCTTAATAGATTTGTAGAGCATATATGTAAATGATAAAATAATTGAAGACTGGCTTTTGCACTGCAAATATGAATGTGTGTGCTTTTCCAGCCCAGCTAGCCAACCTCTCACGGGTCCTGTAAGGGTAGAGATCAGTATCTCTTCTCACCATCACCAATATCAGCTCTTCCTTCTCCAGAATACTGAAGATTGCATCAGGCAAAAGATATTCCAACCCTTATGTTATGGTTTAACTCCAGCCAGCAACTCAGCCCCACAGAGCCTCTCACTCAATCCCCATAATGGAATGGAGGAGAGATTTGGAAGGGTAAAAGTAGGAAAATTCAGGGACTGGGATAAAGACAGTTTAAGGTAAAGCAAAAGCCATGTACTCAAGCAAAGCAAAACACAGAATTCACTTACAGCCTCCCATGCTGAACACTCCCAAGTGTTCAGCAATCTCCAGGAAAGCACAGCTCCATCACTCATAACAGTTGCTTGAGACAACAAATTCCATCGCTCCAAATATCCCCCTCTTTCTTTTTCTCATGCTTTGTATGCTGATCATGACACCATATGATCTGGGATATCTCTTGGATCAGCTGAGGTCAGTTGTCCTGGCTGCATCCCTTACCAACTCCTTGAGCACTCCCAGCCCACTCACTGGTGGGGTGGAATGAAAAGCAGCAAAGGCCTTGACTCAGTGCTGATAATTCAGAGATGTTTTAGCTATTGCTGAGCGCTGCTTGCACAGTTTCCAGCACACATCCAAAGCACAGCTCTATACTAACTACTATGAAGAAAATTAACTCTACCCCACACAAAACCAGCAAACCTTAATTGGAATGGCATGGGTGGATTGGGGTGCTGTAGGTGCATTGATGAACACACAGCTGGCTTATTAAACAGAGCTCCTAAATTAAGCATCACAAAGCAAACATTTGCACTCCATAAGAGCCAGTGAGTTGCAGATTTACCTTTAAAAGCCTGTTAGATGACTCTGAAAGCATATGAAAGATGAAAACTTCCTTGGGGCATAAAGCATTAGGATACAGGATATGCGGGCTCCTTGCACACCTCTGGCATGAAAACACATCTGTAAAAAGCCTGAAAAGCCCCATCATTCTACCCAGTGAAGATGAAATGGTGCACCTGGACAAAGAGAGTGACTCCTTTGAAGGAGTAGAGCAGCAACAGCCCCCTGTCCTGCACTCAGCTCTCCATTCCAAAATAGAGCAAGAGATGTGGCTTGTGCCTGACACCCTGGCAGGGCCTCCTGCACCTCTGCTAGCCCTGGGGCTGCTGCTGCCACTTCTTTCACCCTGGGAACTACTGAAAATCTTTTGAAAGTCCCAGACTGCAAAGAGACTGGGGTGCCTCTGACAGAGGTTCTGCTACTAACAACAATTATCCCAGGTTCTGATTCCTGATATCAGTCCATGGCAAAGTCCTCTCAAGGAAAAGGGAAGAACAGAGAAATTTAATAACTCGTTGATGCATCCGTTAATCCCATTTATAGACACATTCCTCCCCAGATGCTCTCAAAACAAGCCCAGGGATTAACAAAAGTCTCCCTGCAAGCTCCCTCCATCATTTGTCCCATCTTACTTCATTCTGTCTCCAACACCTTCAAGATGTGGTTGTAGAGGCTGGCTGGTTACATAACATGGCACTTTCACTGTGCCAGAGAAGAGCCATGGAGGTCTGTGAGGGAGCAGTGGAGGAACAGTCCCCGAACCAACAGCAGCACCTAAAGTTACTCATCTTACCTCGCTGACTGTAGCCCTAAATGTGCATATATTCCTCTAATGAGAAATTAAATTGCTATTCAGCATAAAGCCTTGAGTTTTATTGGCAAATGAAAAGTTTTTATCTGTTAAATGGAGAATAATCAAAGTTTTCTTTCTCTGCAAGTAAGATCCCTTCTGTGCCACTGAGCAGCTTTCAAGCAGCAACTCAGGACCACAGCACCTGCCCTGCCAGGCAGGACAAAGCAGCTCATAGAGGCCTGATCTGGTACAAGGGTGTTTTGAATCTTTTGGGCAGGGTTTGGACATATATATATCCCCACTGCCTCCAACTTTTAAATTTTGCTTTTTATGCAGCTTTATGCAGAACAAAATTAACCTATTTAAAAGCAGCTTCTTAAAAATAGTGAGATATTTGAATGCGTTTTAGAAGGTATTCATTCCATCTGTTTCTCAATTTAAAGGGAAATAAATATCCTCTGTGATGCCACACCAGACAGAAATACTTTCTCCTTCTGCGCAAAGTTAAGGTTACAGGACTGCTTTTGACAACATAAGTGGGAGGTTTTTATTTCCTGTCTTTTTTTCTCTCTGCATTATTAGTAATTTCAAAACTTTTTAAAATTTTGAGCCAATAAAAGTTGGGGAAAATATTTTTTGAAAGCTGGATATTATAAAATGTCATTTTTGTATGAAAAATTCATGCACAAAATTACAGTAATGAAATCTCCAGTAGACAGCAGTAGAAGAAGCAAAGCATGAGCTTGGTTGATGAGATGTCTCTATTATTTTGCAGCAGGTGGATTGTCATCTTCAGCCCTCTCATGACAATTTCCCCACCTCAGTAGCAGTAGAAACTGCACAGACACATTCCTCACTTAGCTTTTCTTTTCTTCACCTAATATAAATGAACAATTCATAACCCAGTCACTTACCTCCGAGATGCTGAATGAGGATGATGAAGAACATTGTCATTTTTCTCAAAGCTTTTTATCTTTGCTGAAATGAGAGAGATGGGAATGGAATCATACTTCTATGAAGAACCTTAACCATGCTTTTTTATTTTTTTCATATCTATTCAGATCCAAAAGTGATAAATGAATGGATGTTGACCAAAGTCCACACAGGGAATCAAAAACTGATTATTTTTATTATTACCATCTGTACAATTCCATGTGCCATCATCTTCTACTATCAGTAGTAAATATATCATCCCACTAAAGCCTAAGCAGTATCATAGTGTGTAATTAATTAGGGCAGAAACTAAGGACATGGTCAGAAATAGGAGGAATAAATATGCCTATATATGCTTTCTTGGTATGGGGACAAAAGATAGAATTTAAAAAGCAAGAGGTACCAGAAAGCTATGTAAATTTGCAGTATCTGCATAGGTCTTTTTTGTTTGTTTCTTTTTAACCTGAGCAAATTACTGGGACTTCTTTTCAAGACACCCATGTCTTCTAGGAGAGGGAGGTACAAATTAAATACCTGTCAAGCAAAGAATGTCCTTGGACCAGTACAGGCACTTAAAAACCGGGAAGAACTCACTACTGACACTCACAGTGTCAATAAGGTATATGAAGGTCTGAGAGCTGCTGACTCTGGACAGTCCCTTAAGCCAAAAGCCACATTCATCTATTCTTCACATAGTTTCAGAAATAAAGAATTTCAGAAGTCATTAAAGACCCTAATCTCAAATTACATATATTTTTCATTTCTGTTTTCAATACCGCAGCCAAAGTTATCTTGCTGGGAGCAGACAATATATCAAAGGTCAGTTTAACAACTCCACGCAGCGTAAGAGAGATACAACTGACCTAGAGATCTCATCCTCAGCAAGAATTGCACCCTGAGCAAAAACCAGCAGCAGTTAGAGACAATATGGAAGACATATGTCAAAGAGATATGAGAAATAACCCATGGTCCTTAAATGAAATAATTAACCTACATCCAGTTTGTAACATGTTTTAATAGATCCACTCTAGAATTATGGTCATCCCCTGGCTCTAAAGACACAAAGTTGGTGTCTGCTACGATATCTCTGTAGCTTTACAGCTGAAAATAACAATAGTCCTCTGAACTATGGGTAAAACTTCATGTATAAAAGGAAAGAATAGAAATAGAAACGAGAAATATTGATGACAGAGCCCAAAGGGCCGTGGCAGGTGGAAGAAGAGCAGTGAAACATACATGGGACAAACTAGAGAAGGTAATTTCTTCAATCAGAACATGTACAATATGCAGATTTCAAAATAACAAAGGAACCAGATGTACTTTTGGTTCACTCTAAACTAGAAGAGCAACTGAAAGGGATATAGAGCATCACTACAGCTTCCTCTTTAGCTCTTCTGTCAGAAATTGTCTGGAGAAGCATTAGTTAAGGGAACTTCACCCTCAAACAGAAGAAAAGTAGAGCAATTGCAGGATGTATCAAAGGAATTCAAATACCATGCAGGAATTGAAATGGAAAATGGCTTCACTTCAATAGTTCGGGTTCAATTTCTGTCTTTAGGTGAACTGCAGTTCCTGAATTCTCCCGAAACACTCTCACTGAAGAACATACTCGGAAAAAAATTTCTCTGCCTCTTTCTCTCCTCTTGCTGTCTTTTGTATCTGCCCTGCCTCCTGTGGACTGCCCATCGAGCATCCCTGCTCCCAGAGGAGATCATTTGCCATTACAGCTGACTGCTGTTAGTAAAAACATTTAGCAAAATAGCAAGACCCCTGTTGAATCATGAACCATGAAGTTCAACAGCAGGTGGTTTGCAAGACTGTGCACATTACAGTGCACACAGCACGAAAAGCATCAGTGCAGGGCAGCAGAAAGTGATGCATTTGCTCCCCTTGCAAAAATTTTCATTTAGGGATGTCTGGTCTCACAAAGTCCTGCTTTAGAGGAGTAAAGTTTCAGTGTTTTGTCAACATAAAAAAAACTTTCTCCCTATATCTACCATTCGTCCTTCTTTTACATGTTTTTCTATGTTGATATTTGAAGTTATGTCAAATTACAAATTCTGCATCAGGAAAATCTATTTTAGTAAAATAGTTGTCAAAATTGAGGTGGTCAGTACATGTTCAAATCAGCATGTAAATCTTTAATATATAAGCATTTTGTTAAAACAGTTATTGCTTATCCTATGTTTCTGGTCCAAAATATACATTTGAGAGTCCAAGACATTTTACAAAGCATTAGCTACAATTTAACTGGTAATCAGTTAAATGAAGGTTTTATAAAAAAGATAGAACTGTAAAGCTCTTCCAAGCAGCCCTTGGGAACACGAGCTGCATTGCAGTTTTCCCCTCAATTTCACAAACTGCCATACGTTTAGCTTATAATAACTGCTTTAAGTAATTTAAAATGAAGGCATTTGGCTCCCAGTGATGCTATGTAATTCTATTTTAATAAGAGCGAGTGCAGTTAGGACATGGACCAGTGTAACTACATAATCCTGAATGGCAGACTGTGCAAGAATTTTTTCTCTTATTAATTTCATGCTTTCTCATCTCATACTCTTGCTTTGGCCCTGTCTAATCTTGTAGCAGTGGTGAAATATTATCTGAACAACTGCGGTGATGATTAAATTAATTTAAAGCTATTTGGGATTAAGCTATGATCTGCAGTCTCTTTTTTTCTTTTCTGCTCCCATTCCTTGTAACTCATCTGCTGTGTGGGTTTTTCCCTTTTTCTGACCACTTACGCTTCGTTTCACATCCTCTTTGTCCATTGTGATGCCCAACATACAAGTTCACTTATCCCGACATACAATTCAATTTATAGCCTTCCTGGCACAAGTGAATTCTCCATGCCTGACACTGCTAACTGGATAGCTGCACTCTGAAGAGTCAGTGGCAGCATATAGGACACAATTCCTCTGCCATCTCTTCAGAAAAACCAGTGTCAATGTGATTCTCAGCTGTAAGAAAAATATCTCTCTATCTTACAAATTATTTAATTTTCTTTCTCTACATGTCTCATATATAAATAACTTCAGAGACAAAACAGATAACCTATAAATGCTAATAATACAGAAGAAAACAGTAAAATAGGATGAAAATATAAAAATCCCTTTAATAATGTAACTGTGAAAGATGGGGAGTGTCTGTGATAGCAGATGAAGCAGACTAATATTTTTATTTTGTATCAATCAAGTCCAAATTTCTGAATTGAATTAAAGAATTTTACATATTCTGATTCCTAAACTCTTCTTTTCCTTTCTCTTAGGGCTTACTTGTGGCTACTATATTCTGCTTCTTCAATGGTGAGGTAAGTTTGTGAAACACAGAAAATGAGCAGAACTTGAAAAATACTCACTCTGTTGTTCATTAATGGAGATGTGAAGCTTGTCACACCACAAACTACACGAAGCTGCTTTTACTCTATAGACAAGCAACTGTGTGTGTTTTTGAAAGCTCTGTGCAGAGTGTGACTTGAATATCTCTGAGCAGATGAATCAGGTGTATTACCATTACAAAGCAGATGGTACCTAATGAGGTGCAGGCATGAGACTCTCCCCTACCATCTGCAGTTTAATATGGAGGTCTAAGTAAAGGAGAAAAATGCTCTGCTCCTCTTCCTGCCTGAGAGCAGTGGGAAGGACTGCAATAAGCAGTGGAGATCTTCAGGGGTCTGTCCTGAAGAACCCAGTGCTGCGTTCAGAGCCGGAGCCACGGCAGAGGCCATCCCTGGTAGCACTACCAGAGCTGGAGGAGTGCAATTACTTTCTCTCCTTTGAGGATTAGCACTGGCCTTTTTACAGTCAATGTTTCTTAGGTAGTAATTGAGAAATAGAAGTCCTTGAGGCAAAGATCTCTCCCATGCTCTTACAACTAGAGCATATATATGTATTTACACCTACAGAGGCTTTTAGGTCCACTTCACCACGGGTTTTTGTTTGTTTGTTTGTTTGTTTGCTTTTACAAAAAAATAGCACTTAAGAATATGTCAAGAACCATTTAAATTTCTACAACAAGCCATTTTTCAAAGATGGTTGGCCAAAAAAAGCTTTTTCAAAATAATTTTCATTCCAGAGCAGATGAATTAGACACAGAATAAACTTTGTGATGCTAACACTCAGTAAGGCAACCTAGAGAGATATTTGTGCCCCTGTTTATCCCTGTATATTATTAGAAAGTAGCAAATTCCAAGTAATGATGTGACCACACTGATGTTTTGATAGAGACTTGAAGCAAATTATGTTACTGATAAGGTGCTATGGGCTGCTTTGATAACTTTCAGGATAGCGGAGAATATTAAACTCTGCCACCACTTGTCAACATCATTGCTTATGTCTGGCTCCCTGTGTAAATGTACAGAGAAACTCAAGAGTAGACAAGGTGAGAGGCCTCCCCCTGTAGTTCTGTGGCATGGCTTCTCAGGAGACATGAAAGAGAATGGCAAAATGTAACTACTGACCCCAGAACCTAACATGAAATGGGAGCTGTAAAGATCGTGCTACAGAAGTTCATGGTTTCATGCATCCAACTAAACAAAGCTGAAGAGATGTACTACTCTTTCCCTATCACATTTCTGTCCCCAGGATCTGCAGGCTACTATCATCTTTCTCCTTCTCCCTTACTGTCATCACTTGCTGGTATAGTCCAGTCTCCATGCGCTGGAAACACAGAAAAACTTCGGATTCTCCCTGGTAGGGGGGACCTGGCGTGAAGAAAGTAGAGGTCAGACAGTTTTTGGAGGATCCTCTCCCTGTAGGAATGACTGCATAGCTATGTATAAGCAATGCTCCACTGTGTCTTCACTGGCCTCCAAACAAAGTTTTGCCCCCCAAAATCCTGGTCTTGACCATCACATTCTTCATTCTCCCCATCATCACCTTCCCTTTTTTTTTTTTTTCAGATTAAATTTTTTAGAACAAATTTTCTTATTGTTTTATAACTTTGTTGTAAAAGGTTGATTACTCCATAATTCTTCAACTCTAATGAGAACACATGGATTTGTGTCTAAGTTAAAGGCTGTAACAGTGCTAAAGAAGAGGAAAGGTGGCAAAAAAAGGCACTGAAAAGATGAAGCATCTTAAAGGCTGTTTATTTCTTAGTTCCATCAACTAGTTCTAATTCCAAAGTACTTTTGGCAATGCTACAGTGTCAGATGAGCATATCCACCTTTACAACTCCAGGAATACAATTCTCAAATTATGCAATAATTAATATATCTGAAGTATCAGCTTGCCAATATGTATAGTTAGTGATTCCTCGGTGGAGCAGCTGATCAGAAACACGGACAAGTGTCAGGCAGTAAGAACAAATGGCCATGAGGATTCAGGTTTCCCAGACATGTTGTGAAGGATTTTATTGGTGCTTGGGTACTTTTCAACATTATACCCATTTTCAAAATCATATCTGCTTCAGACTTGTCAATGGCAACTCTCATTGGCAGGAATTCAGAGAAATTCTCTCACTGTTTTCTTATAGGAAATTTTATTTACTAGACAAAAAGGGAAGCTTTCTTTAAAATTTCCCATTAGGGTGAGCAGAGAGTCAATGATGGCACCTCTGTAAGACAGACTCGACAGTTTGGTGCTGCTTGCATCAGCACATTTCCAATAAACATCAAGCAAAGTTTATGCACTAGAATAGCTAGGCTGGACTTTGCCAGGAGAGGATGAAAGTATTGCGATTACCTTCCTCCCATTTTATTCCTGCAGTTACAGAATTTATAGATATATAAGGCACAAAATCTGTAGAAGAGCAGTAACAGACTAATGATGAGCTGATATTATATCCTTCCCAAGGGAGTGCTGATCTGAGTTGGGCCAAGTGAACTCAGCTGACTCCCCTCAGTCTTGTTGTGTGCAGCAGAATACAGACCAAAGCCACAGTCTGGTCTTTTATCATGATAGAAGATTGTTTCCAAGCTGCTGCATACATCTGCTGCCATAGAGGTCAAAATTACTTCTCATAAGAAAACTCAGTGTGGGGCAAGGAGATTAATTTTAGTGCTACAAGAAGCCTGTATAATCTGGGATTTACTTTTTCCTACTGGAGTTTAACTTCAAAACTGAAACACATGAAGCTTAGCCAGGACAAACAATCCTAAACTCAGAACCACCTGACAGTGTTTTACAGTGCATCATTGCCTACTACCTCACCAACCTCACTTTAGTTCCATGGGCCCATCTATAGAAAGAAATGTAAAAATAGTAATAAGAAGCTGTACTGATGCCTTCATTCATGTGGAAGAAGAGATTTGTTTAGGAATTTTAAAATGTCAGATGTTCTTGTGCATTTTCATATAAAATCTTTGTATCTGGCAGAACTGCAGTTTCTCTGTCCAGTAACAACAGTGTTGTACAGATGATTCAAGGTCTCTGCAATAGTCTGTTCACCAGACCACATTTTCAAGCCTGGGAATGCTTCTAGGCTCTAAGGTTGGACAACAAAATGGAAAGTCATTTTGGGGAAAAAACAGCCAAATATCTTACATGCCAATGAGGCATGAATGGCTATTGAAGAACAGAAAAATCTTTAAAGTCTGGAATATCAGAGTAAATAAGCTCGGGCTCTTCAATGTTTTAGCTTTTACTTTCTTCCATCTGTTATCACAGCAGAAAGCATGGCAGGCACTGCCCTGCACCTCCTGTCCCCATGCACCTCCTCAGTCATTAATATATCGTGGCTGTGCATGTGACTTTCAGTAATGCCGCTTACGTCTTTAAAATCCATGCCTGAATGGTTTTGGTTGGCACTGAGTTATGATCATCTGAGATCCTTGGAATCATAGCAGAAGTCTAGATTAACAGGTTTTGCTCAAGTGCAGCAGCTTGTACAATCCATTATCCATTTTGTGGCTGGATTCTTGCACAGGCGAATGGTTCAGCAGAGAACAAAAACACAGCTGCTTTGACCTTGTGCTCTCACTTCTCTGTAGAGCCTTTTAAACCTATATAATGGCACTTCTAATCATGGGCTGAACAGGAAGGGATGTGCCTGTTCTCTCCCTGACCGTACATACAATTTAAGCATCACTCCCTTCTAAGAAAAAAATCATAAGCTCCTCATGACAGGCTTTTTAAGATTCAGGGACATTGTTCTTCCCTTTTCAGTTAACCATGCTAGCCTCTCCAGACCTATGATTGTCCTGGTAGCCTGTCATATTCCAGTTCAGCTGAAGGCAGTTTGGGAGCTTATCAGGAACTCATCACCTGCACAGTAGTTCTTCTCCCCATGAAAGAGTGATCAAAGCTTCGGGGTCTGTGCAGGGGCCAGGGGAAGGGGACGAGGGGAGGAACAGAAAGGCTCTAAGAGCATGTTTTTACCGTTTTTTTACTAAAGATACTGAGATTAATCTGAATAGATGAAGTGCAAACACGGTCAACATGGGGCAGACAAGAAGGCCAGAAGTCCACAATGGCTGGTGGTGGTGTTGGAGAGGTGGCTGCAGGCAGAGCTGCTCTGCACAGACATGGTTATGTCCAGCCAAGCCACCACCCCAGAGTGATCTGGGGAAAGTCACTGTCTTAGTACTTCTGAAGACTTCTTCTTCCAGTCTCTTCCCATAGCTTCTGGGATGACTAAGCTATAATATTCATACTGTAATATCAAAAGGCAATTTTAAAGTGACTAAACTCTTTATAGATCTTACCTCGTGTTTAATATTTCTGTATCAAGTACTAAAACTGCATTACTGTTTCACCCAGTAACTCTTTCTCACTAATAAACTTTGGTGATGGTGTGATATAAAACATCACTGCATGCAGCCATTTCACTTTAATTCTCAATATTGGTGTAGAAAACTTTGCTCCCATCCCCTGTAATTAAAGTGCCATTGTGACCAGAGGCCTTCCCATGCTCAATATCTAATTAATCTACATTCAGCCATTTGTTTTCTTTATGTGTTAGGAGAAAGTAAATAGCAATACAGTCTCCAAATGACAAACAGTGCTCACCTCGGCAGGAGCACAGAAACTCTAGGATTCCTGTCGTCACAGTGCCTCACCTGCACCTGTCTTCCTCTGGAGGAGGGGGTCACTTACACCAGATTATTACGTCAAATTGCTCCTATTCTCACATTGTATTGGGAATCACTGATCTAAACAAAAAAATACAGTTTCCCACTTCCTGCTCATGTCTCAGCATTACCAAGAGCCAGCATGCCCTGAACATGCATCTGGAGAAGGGCTTCCTTTTCCCTGGCAGGACTCAGTAGCTTAAATTATATCTTAGTTTCATGCATAACATCACTATTAATGTAAAAGATGAATAAAAAATTTTATTCCTAGCAGATGAATATTCAAAGGTTGAAATTCTCTGCCATGCAGCAGGCTATGACAAATGCTATATTTTGCAAGAACAGAACCTGGTTTTAACTTACCAGGACAAAATCTCTGTTTAGCCGTACTAATCCTCCAACTCTTTCTTTCTACAAATTAGTCCTGACAAGCTCTAGAAGTACTTAGACTTAGACATTTATGGCCAGTTTTACTCAAGACTAAGTTTCTTCAGATATCTCAGTGTATTAGGCATTCCATGGGCAAGAATCCAGTTGCAGCATCAGATGGGTTTTAATCCCCATTCCATCTTCCTCTTCCCTCTTCTACCATAGCATCCTACTGTGTTCCCATGCAGCAATCTCTTCCACATTTATAGGATGAGGTGACTTATGTCTTCTCTTCACAAGCAGCAACAACTGCAGAAATTCGTTGCTGCCATAGGGTTGACAGAGAAAGAGTTGAGGCCAAGAGCTGAACAACTGCTTCTGGAGAAGGCAGGAGGAGAGAGGCAGACTGAATCTGATGGAATCAGACCTGGAGCTTTTCCTTTCATTTTTCTTTCCATTTCCCTTCTTCCTCTCCTCTCCCCTCCCTTTCCCTTTTCTTATTTTAAAAGTTCTGCAGCTTCAGGGATTTATATCATGCCTCACTCTAAGTGTGTGTTTCTTAAACAGGTCCAGGGAGCTTTGAAGAGGCAATGGACACAGTACAAAACCCAGTGGGGCCAAAGGCGCCGCGAGCACTGTTCCACACGATCTACCTCCTACACGGCAACATCCATCTCAGAGGTCCCCGTTTACCTGTATCATCACGATTCCAACAATGAACAGCTAAATGGAAGATACGCAGAGGACTCTGAACTCGTTGCATTAAAGTCTGGAGAGACATCTACCTAGCTCAGCACCAGCCATTGCAAACACACTGATTCATGTTCCACCTGCGAACAAAGTGGAGAGAAGGGTGGGAGTGTGGAAATCCAAGATGCTGTGTCAGAGTGCAGGCCCAGGTGGGAGGACACATCATATTCAAACCACATCAGCCTCTGACAGCAATGGTGTGAGGGAGTCTGATGCAGACCTGGAAATAGTATTTCTTCCTGTGCTCTGCAGCAGGGAGTGAACATGGACCTGCCCAGCAGGCCATGTAATCTCCACATCTCCTGATACCAGCCATATAAAGTGACCATCCAACATTAGTAACAACTCCAGGTAGCCCATAGCAAATAGGAAAGAAAGAACCATTATGTGGCAATTGGAAACTTTCAGCACTTTTTGTTTTCTCTACTTTTAACACTAGTTTTTAAACTACCAACTTTCACAATATGTAACTGGCTTAGAGTCCTTTATTTTTCCCTTTTAATGAGCTTAATGACTGCTTAAAAGATTTTGCACACTGCGTGACAAATCAAATACATGAACAACAGAAAATCCCTCCAAAGTATTGAAATCCTGATGATTTCCAAAGGATGCCTCAAAATATTACCAACCCCAAAGGATACCCAGAATATTATCATTACCTTAGCAGGTGCATAAAGCAAATGAAGGTAAAATAGTCATTGCACACCAAGATCTCAAACATCCTCAAAGAAACAGATCATTTCTTCAGGCTGCATCACACAAATCCTGGAGGCATCTCAAAACAGTTTTTGTTTAACAGTAATGAGAGTTCAAGAATATTTATTTATAGGAAAAATTGTCATTCTACTTTGCCCAGAAACTCACCATTAAGGCACAATTTTTTGTGACATTTGATTGGAAATTACAGTTTTATTTAATGGACATTCTGAGATTAAGGCTAGATGAGTGCTTGTCTCTGTTATAAAATTGTGATCATGACAGTAAAGGTAAAGTAAAGATGCCATGTAAGAAATGAGAAACTAATGTCTTGGCACAGGACGCATCTGTTTTTAGAATCTTGTTTCTCTCTTGAGTCCCTAATCATTAGATAGTCCTGTCAAAAACCTTGATAACCAATTTCAGATTCTATTGAAATTAGCAGATAAATCCCTGCTGACTTCAGTGAGTGGTGAACAACTTTCTTCAGTGTTCAGGAATGACTTATGCAATACAGTTCAGTGTAGACCTCAAAAACTGTAGACCACTTCCTCCATTCCTTCAAATCCATAGTGATTTGAAACAATTTTATAAATATCCAGCCAGGCTGTTTTTCCTTGTTTTACCCTTAATTTATAGATATTAAATAGAGGGACAATGTACGTGTCTACCCACATGACTCACCATCTCGCTGGAAAAGTCCCTTCCAGGAATGAGTTCATGAGGGATAGGCATAAACCTAACACTAAGAGAGGGGACTGAATTCCCACTATTCATACAAGAGGTGATGCCTTGCAGGGGAGAGGGATGATCCATTTTTGCCACCAGCACACACACACAGCCTCTGTGGACCACCAACACTTCCCAGTGTGAGGAGTGAGCTGCGTGGAGCGAAAGAGAGGAGCTGGGGAACAAGAACAAGCTGTCTTGCAAAATCACATGGTTAATCCCATGGAACACTTACAAGAAAATACCTTCATGTATATTTTGTTCAAACCACATACCTATTTTTCAGACTTCAAGGAATACGAAGACGGTTATTTTTTCAGACCACAGTATTTGTATCATTGCTATTTCTGTTTTCACCGGTGAACAGTAAGAACTGGAGGAGTCAGTTGTTAAAGACAATGAAATGGCTGTGCTATGAATGCTGTATTTCTGAACTGCTTTGGGACACACCACACTTCCTGGGAGCGCTCCAGAAGGCATTCCTGGTTTCTAAAGATACAAATGAGCTGATTGTAAAAGAAGTGTGCATAATATTGAGAGTTTAATAATGAACATGTTGGTTTTAATGATGTACATGTTTACAACTTGTAGGTGCAAGTTGTTTCCCAGTCTATTATGTTCATGTGGATGTACAAAATGGAAATGCTTTGCCATTATAATGATTGTGTTCTTTCTTCACTATTACAAGTTTCTTGCTTTGTTTAGTAGAGTCCTCTGAAAAGTCGGGATCTGAGGTTTAGGGTCTTGGTTGGAGCTTCAGTGTGGTTGCATCAGTCTTTGTGGAAGCTTTGGTTTCAGTGGCGAGATGATGATTTGCAGCTGCTGAAAATTTGGTCTCCCATACACACTGAGTTTAGGGTTGTCATCACCCTTGGGCTTTGCAGGAAAGGCTAAGTTTTGAAGGTATTTACTAAGTAATTTCAAATCAAAATACTTTCTGATGGGAAATTATATTTTCCTCATCTCCAGATGGTTTGAAATGTTGTCATTGGACTCATAAGGTACGTTTCATTCTCTGCTTTATAAATAGTACTATACACTAGTGACAGTAATATTAGGAATGCTGATACAAACTCAGTAATTACAATTATGACAGGGTGGTTTGACTCTAATACATTTCAAAATAACAGCAGAAATAAATAATTAAAGTATCAATTTATCAAAAAGTTGGGAAGGAACTGACAGTTGAATCCATGGATGCAAAGTGTATTTTAAGAGGAAAACAGCCTTACATTAATCACCTTTACAGTATCTGTTTCCTTCCAAATACAACACCACACCCAACACATGAAAACCCAGTTTACTGAACATTTGCTCCAGCAGAAGGCTTTGAGTCTTTTCTTTGTTTGAGCAAATAAATATATCAGGGAGATGCTGGTTGTTATTCTTTACAGGGTACAGAACCACAGCACAAATTAGAAGATTTGTTGTGGCATGGGATGTCAAAAGTAAGACATGATTTTATTTGATTTACCTAATAAATGTATTTTAGCTAAAATAAAGCAGCAACAAAGGTAGAAGAGACAATTTTTTTCTGTATTAAAATTCTTAGCAATAATGCTACCTTATTTAAAACATTACAGAGTGCTCATGTAGCAAAATAACTTTGCTTTGGGTTAAAAACAACCATGCAAGTATGGTGAATTTCTGTCCTCCCATCCTTTGCTAGTCTCAATAAATAAAACCTGAGCAGATTTTCAAAGATGCAAATCCAAAATACTAACAATGTGAAGGTACCTACATTTCCACTGCTTGGAATTTTAAAATTTTGATGTGTCTTCATGAAGTTAAATGTGCACAGTTACTTGATTACTGCTCAAAACTATCTGGATTTGTGACCTAAAAAACATTTGTATTGATACAGTAGTTGATCCCAAGCCAATGAGGCTCTGTAGTATGTGAAACATGCCCTGTCTGCCCTCTGGTAGCATAGAAGATCTGAGCCCAGCCTGTGCAATTTGGATCCAGTGCTGCCACATGGAGAGGGTAAAAAAAGTCATCGGCCAGCAGTGAGGGAAAGTCAGACCCCCAGCTTGGCATACCTCAGGAGGAAGAACATGATCAGCTCCTTAGTCAACTATTTAGTGAAATGTAAGTCCCTGCCAAGCCTTGAGATTTAGGATGGTGCCAGAAATGACACCAGTGATTTGACACCAATGCTTTAACACCAATGCTTTGTAGTTCTGTGCCAGCTGTAGTAATTAAGGTACCTGTAATATTTAAGTTGAAAGTACCCTTTTCGTGACCTGCAGATGTTTCTGTGCAGTACAGAATTTTTCATATGCTTCCAGATGGATCCCAAATATATATTTAAACATCCTTTACTGAATATTCAGGGCATCATTGAGAAAATAAAGTAATTCTCAGCATCTCGAATATAGATCAGTATGTCCCTCTCATCCTAATGAAGGAGAGCTGTTTTAACCAGTCAGTGAAGTGGTGAGAATGTTACCAGTGCTAAGCATGTCATACTGCTGCTGGAGAAGAAAGCAGCATGGTAAGATGACTAACAGGGACGTTATATATGAGTCTCATGAAACACAGATTGCCACAGACAGCATTGGGGATGATTAAGGCCTGGCTCACTTGCGCTGGCAGAGGGATCATTTAGATGGCCTGCCAAATTCCTGTCAAAATTTATTTTCTATGATTTTACAGCAGCAGAGATGAGCACTGTGCTCTGCTGTGACAAGAAGGTACTTACTTCTCATTAAATACCATATAAGATTTTCTTCATAATCCAATTTCAGGACCTCCCAAGCCTTCTTTAAAAGAAAAAGAAACTAACTATCTTCAGTCAATTTTTAAAGGATATCATATGTCTGCACTGATTTTAATAATCTGGTCCCTCTTCTCTCACCATAAGCAAATGCAACTTTGAGAAGTTACCGCACCACAGGAGGTTATTTTGTGTAATGTGCAATGTGCAGTTGTGTGACTACATGGAACTCCCCCATTCCCAAGTGCTAGTGATGTTGTTTTGCATAACATGGTCAAATTGATACAGCTCCTTCCCTCATCTGCTCTGCATTTCTCTCCACCTCAGTATTGCCGTCATAAGAAGTGTTTACTTCCCGATCTGTGCATCCTACACATTTTCAGCAGAAACATTTTTCCTTTGCAGTTTACATCTACTACCCACTGGAATTATGGAAATGGTAGGTGCAGATTTAAAGGTAAATTAAGGATAAAAGTCTGAGCGTGCTGATCAAGTATCTTTAGAAGCAGAGTAATATTATCTTTCTATTTTTGACAGAATGCAATCCTGTCATTTGAAGAAAATTTAAAAAAAAAAGATCTTAAGAAGTTGAATCTTAGATAAAAGGCACAAAAAAAGCAACCATTTGGAAATTCCACATAGGATACATAGATACATGCATATGAATTATTACATATTATATATATTACTACAATGAATTGTTATAAGAACTGTGCTCAGGTAGAAAGTAACCCATCATCCCCCCCAAAATGCACAAAGCTGAAGCCATGAGTGTAAGAGACTGTGGGTCAGAGAAGGTATGCAGCCTCCCTTAACTACCTTAATACTTTCTGAGGACCCCACGGGCCCACTCCCATAGCAGATGTGTTCATGATGGGAATGACTGGGCCAAGAGATGTTGGCCACACTGCATTTCTTAGCTTGCTAAACCAACACTGAGCTGATGAAAAGGGCTGACTGGGAGGTAAGCAGGAATAATGTCTTTCTCAGCTGCATGTCTGCTCTCCAGCAGACAACCTCATTTATCTCACCAGCATAAGACCCACTGTTGTGGAGAAGATTTACGTTAGATCAAGCAGTTCCTTGGTTCTGAAAATCTTTTATTTTGTTTTACCCTGGGTGATACAGCAGTAATTCACACTGACTTCAGCAATGCGGCTAAGGGCAGGATTTCTACCTCTCTGATTTTAGAGATTATCTAAATATCTAGCAAACTCTGAAAATACGTGGTGTAATACAGTCTCACCATCATATTTAACATCAAAATCCCAGTTTCATCTGTATTATGCTACATATAGACTGTTTAAGGTGACAAGATGCTATTTTTGTATTTTTCTGGGGGATTTTTGAGAAATGTTTGATGTCTACTAGCACCATGTTTATACATGCCACATGTATTGGACAAATTTCACAAGTTACTTGGCCATTAACATATATTTTCATTTTTATAGGTAAAGAGATAAATAGTTGCTTTTGTTAAATGCTTAGCATAAAACAACTTCCAGAAGATCAAAATAAAAAGAATGAAAAAGGCTCTTGGAGTCCATGCTGACCACATAGAAAAACCTGAGAGATGGAAACCCTTTGTATCCTACTCTCCCCTCTTACCTCCTAGTTATTTCTTTAGTTTTTAGCAAACAAGGTCAAAGTGTCTCAATCCAGGTGGTGACACAAAGCTGATGAGAACCATGTTATCTGGATAGGTTTTTCTGGGAGATGATTGGTACGCAAGGCAACTACCACTCTTTCCACTGACCACTGCAGTGTGTGTGCAAGCAAGATTTTAATGAATAAACCCTCTAGGTATATATACCATCACAATTAACCCCTGAGAAGGGGTGGGAGAGACTTCCGCACAATTTAAAAAATCTGTGAAATAAGGTCCATGAAGAAAGAGGCTGTATCTCAGGTTCAGAGACAGCATCCCCAGTATATGCTTCCACAGGGAAAAAAGTTGCATAAAATAGCTACCTATAATGAGTGTTGCTCTATAATAATGTTCAGAGCCCATATTCTGCTTGGTGGAGATTGTGTGGGCGGGTTTATCAAGTTCAGGCCAAAAACAAACGAAGAGGAAATAGCTTAAGAAAAGGGTTCTCTTATTGAATTATATTATACTACAGGCTTTTTTCTGTTATGAGTTCTTTTATTGTCTTTGAGTTTATAGCAAAGATTTAACTCCAAAGGACCAAACCACCATGCTTATGATTGCCTCTGTGGCAGCAGAAGGGAGATGCCTCTCTGGGGAGGCTGCAGCTTTGACATGGCAGCAGTTCAGAGTCTTCATGGGAATTATGGTGCAAGTGTATCCAACACAAAGTAACCTTCAATTTTGAAAGGAGGGATTGGAAGGATTTTTTCTTTTATTCCTGTGCGGTCAAATTTCTTCCTCATGGCAGACACCTTGGGAAGTTAGAGTCAATGAGAAAGTGGAAGGACAACAGGTCACTCCAGCTGTGCCATCATCTACACAGGCACTGCCATATACGTGATGAATAGTTCGTCATGACTTCTCAAG